ATATATATATTTAATTATTAATGAAAATAAACAATATTTATGTAGCAAAGGAAATATTACTATTTTCTGAGAGGTGTCTCAACACAACCCAGCCTATTTCTTACATAAAACGCTCCTGCGCCAGAGCTATCGGTGGCTCGGCCGCCAGCGGCCGGGCGGTAGTGGGGGAACAGAAGGCGTCATTTCGGGAATCGGCCCGAAATGTGCAACTCATTCCGAGCGCTCCTTTACAGCATTCAACTTTAACGAAAGCTGAGTTTGACAATATACCCAGATAGTACCGAATGTTCCATGAATGTTCGTATATGATTTAAATGTTCTTTCTCAGGAATATTCGCATAGATGTTCCTTGAACTTTCTTGGAATGTCCTCAATATTCTATGAATATTCGCATAGAATGAACACAATAATATTTATTGATGGTGGAAAACGAGCTAATATATATACTAAATGATAAAGAAAAGTATAATTATTTATCAAAATAATAGAAACTTATATAAAAAAATTAACAGATTTGAATTTTTAGCCTGTCAGAGTATTATATATAAATAATAATTATTATATATTTATATATTTATTATATAATAAACAAAATAATGCATTTTTTTAAATAAAGTAAAGTAAGTAATGTTTACATAATAATTTGTAAAAATTATATTGCATATCTATATGCTTCTAGTGTTTTTTATGCTCGTACATCGTGATTTAATGAGACATTGTCGTAGTAAAAGAGTAATTACAAATTTTTATATTATTTTATTACCTTTTTGGAGTAACATATGGTATTACTTCTAATTATTTAAAATCCACGAAAATATTGCAGAATTAAATAGAAAAGACTAAGAAATTATATTGCAATTACCCAATAAACATTAGGACATTCTATGTACGTCCTATGTATATACATATATCGATATTGTATATTCTCTGTATATACAGAGAATGCGAAAAGTATGTACATCGCATATCCTATGTATGTGAAATAATTACCACATGTATGTACATAGGATGTCCATAGTACATACATAGGTATATTCCAAAGATATGCAGTGTACATTCGTGGTATATACATAAGGTATATTGCAAGAATGTGCAATACACATTCGTGACATGTCATGAGGCATGTATATTCTATGTATATTTACGCTGTGATCTCGTTTGAACATACAAGTCATGTATATCCGTACGATGTCCTACGAATATCCCTAAATATACGTAAATTCATGTATATTCTATGTATGTACATAGTATATATGTACAGTACGTTTTTTTCACATTATAAATATTTCATGTATATAAGATATCGAATGTTTACTGGGCATGTGCAAACATCTTTTATTATTGTACAGTGATTGTAATACATCAATGTATAATAATACCGTTTAAAACTGAAAATTGAGCTACTAAGCCACTAAAAGAAATATCCATCAGTAATAATCCATCATTAATAGTAATCATGTTATCAGTTGTCATCAATGATCGTTTATCAATGATCTTCTAAGCGAAATACAGATAATTTGATACCGTCTCGAGATCGTAGTAAAATATCATTTGTTAATTTGACATCTTTTACACTGCCAGTTGCTACAAAGCGAAACCGCCGCAATAAATTTACTATTGCTGCTCCCACGGACAGAAAAGTATATCGTTGACCTGAAAGGAAGAATATAAACAAAGTATAAAAAAGGTGTTAAAACAACATATTACAATATCTATAAAGTATACTAAATATTCAATCAGACTCTTTTATTACTTGTTTAAAAATATTCTAAATCTAATAATTTTAAAACACTTAAAATTTAAATTTAAATTTAAAAAATCATAAACTTCAATAAGATACGCAAATATTTAAATATGCTATTGATGTAATATTGATATTTTTCTAGATTTTCGAAAGATTGGCTTGCATTATTTTCAAAATAAAAAACCAATTTAAAAAAATTTACCTAGGCAATCTCTAGGACCTGTGCCGAATGGAATGTACGTGTAACGATGACGAGTTGACGAGTTTTCGGACGAGAATCGTTCGGGAATAAATTCTTCTGGCTTATCCCAATACATGGGATTACGATGAATAGCAAATATTGGTATCATAACGAGACATCCATCCGGCAAAACGCACGATTCTACAATCAAAGTTTCTTTTGTAATTTGAAAGAATATATTATTGTCAACTTTATTTCTTTTATTGAATATTGTGTTTCAGAAAACGTCACGTTATATAAAAATACCAAGCTGGATGTCTCCCGTAAGTTGTCGCGAAATGATAGGTGACGCAGGAAATAATCTTAATGTCTCTTGAATCACCATATGAAGATATCGTATAGTCATGAGACGTTTGACATCTAAATTGTCATTTCCAAATATTGTTAATATTTCCTTTCGCAGTTTTTCCTAAAAAATTAAATGCATAAATAATAAAATAAATATTTAAGAAAATTGAATAACGTAGTATATAATAAAATTAAACAATAAACTAAGCAAATCCATATAATATAATTATATGTATAATATAGTTGATGTATTGTATAAATGAAATAGTCTTTGCAATACACACAGATAAGCAAAATACTTTTCTTTCATGATCTATTCTGTAGAATAAATATATATATATAGTAGAATAAATAAATATATATATATATAGTTAGTAATTTTACTAACTTGTATTTCTACATGCATTCCCAGCATAAGCAAAGTCATCGATGTCATTTCCATAATTGTATTTTGTATCTGTAAAAAATGTTAATTTACTGTAATGTAAATGTACTCGTATAATGTTAAGTTATTATATAATAAATGACATTACAGCAATATACAAACTGCGAACATCGTCTATAAAGTCTTCATCGCTTACAGCGCAGGATTTATTTGTTTCATCATCGAATAGTTGCTTCATATGGCTTGAATAATTGCCAATAACGGATTTTTCAAAATACTCACTATCATAATTTAGACCATTACATTCCATTGTCTTCTTCTGCATTGCTATCTACATATATATTAAATAGCAAATTGTATCAGTTAATAGTGTTGACATAAATTGCAATTATGATACTACAATTTTCTTTTGCACTACAAGTTTAGATAGAATAAGATATGAAAAAATAAATTTGTTTAATACTACATGCATTTAATGCTTTATATATGATTGAACAATTAATAAAAAAATGAGCTTTACATTATAAATAAAATCTTGTACAGTCTTTTGAGCAGTACACATTTTTTTTTTGTTATCGCTCAGGCAGAAAATCCATTCTATTTGTTGCCACGGTTTTATTATTGTCTTCCATACACATTTTATCAATCTAAAAAAATTATAAATTAACATCTGAAATATAAGTCACACAAACACGACAATATAAAAATGATATACCTGTCCTGCCAGTACAATATTTCATTGTATTCACCTTTATGGGCTGTTCCTTGAATACCCGCAATTGATGCTGTTAATATTTATTAAGTTAAGTTAATATTTATTAATTTTTATACACTACTCCACAAAAAAATAAGAAACATTTTTCAGATGCTCAAAATCGAGCAATTTTCAAACCGCTGAAACTCGGTAAAAAATTATTGCAGACAGAAAATAAAAAAAGCATTTTAAAGCATGAAACCTGTACTTTTACATGCTTTAAATCGTTTTCTAGAAATTTTTTATGTTTATGCTTCTTAGTCCAAAGAAAGAACACATTATTTCGTTGTTAATAAACAAATTTTTTCGCAAAATTTATGACATGTATCAAAAACTACAATATTTTATCTACAAACGCGTTTTTAAATTTTACTACAATTTTTTTGTCTGAGTTACGCGACTATAAAACCAACCATACATTTTGTGAAAAATAACATTTACCATCGGCAGTGTAGCATTAATGTAAAAAATATAGGTTTAGCTTCAAAGTCGTATAACTTAGCCAAAAAAATCGAGTAAAATTTAGAAACATACGTTTTCTAAGTAAAATGCTGCAGTTTTTAATACTTGTCATAAATTTTGAAAGAAAAATTATTTTATTTAACTGCAAAACGTATGTACGTAATTTTAAGAACAAAACAATATACCTTTTTAGGCTTAGAAATGTAAATATTAAAAATTTCAAATTTCAATAAAAAGATCTAAAGCATGTAAAAGTACAAACTTCAAGCTTTAAAATGCTTTTTTTTAATTTTTTGTCTGTAATAATTTTTTATCGAATTTCAGCGATTTGAAAATTGCTCGGTTATAAATGTTTAAAAAGTGTTCTTTATTTTTTGTGGAGTAGTGTATTTAATGAAAATTTTTAAATGGCAATTTAAAAGTAATTTTTATATTTAATTATATTATCAATTATAATTATATACATAATAGAAATTTGTAATTAAGGTTTATTGTAAATCAAACCATAAAGCTTTCAAAGTTTTTTAACATAATTTTTACCTAAGAATATATCAGCTGCATATTGTGCCATGTACGGCTTAATGTCAAATATATGACCACCGATTTCTTTTTCTAAAAGATCAGCACAGTTGTGGCTATAATTATCAAAGAATGTTACATAGTCGGTTAAATATTTGATATTTAAAAAAGGCTGTATTATTTTTCGTCGAAGCCTGTGAGTTGTACCTACAAATGTCAAGTATAATCTTGAATAAAGGGAGACAGAGATATTATGTAATCTTTTTATGTATTATTATTTTCATAATTATATAAAACTATATGTACATAAATCAAGTAAAGATTTATTATATTTGGACATGATCGCGTAATACCTGAAGCTCTGATAATTCCGTTTCCAAGAAGTGGATACCATTGCTTGGTGACTGAAGTTTTATTGTTGCCGTTTACGTTTGTGAGCACGAGCTGCGTATTTAACTCAATGTATTTTTGCAATAGTTTCAATATTTTTTAAAAACTTACCTTATAATCCTCGGGTTTTGTAAGTACTACGAAGACATCTGTTCCTAAGACAAGACGACTTAAAGTTCCATATTTTTTAGTAATTGTCATCAGATAGTCTATTAATTCTGTAAAATTGTGTGTATATTTTATATATAATATTATTTGTAAAACTACGAGATTGTCACTGTCAGAACGTAGATTATTTTTTCTTTTTTATATAACTTGTAAAAACAGATTTAAAAATAAAATTAAGAATTTGTAGTAAAATTATATTATTATGTAATTTTATAATTGTATATAAATTAATAATAGATAATTTTGTAATAATAATAAATAGATACATTCAAATTTTTGCAACATTTAATTTTTGCATCCTTGTGCAACTAATAAGATATAGGTTTCTTTATATAAGCCTGCATAAATGTATATTAATCAAAATTAATTTATACTTAATTAGTTATTTTCAATTATTGGCAGATTTAGTTGATTTATTCTGACATTATAATTACAGGTATGTTATTCACCTTCATGGTTGCAAGCTATTGCCAACGACTTAACAATAGATAATAATATAGGTGCACCAGGCAATGAAACAGCAAATTGTAAATTTCTTTTTGTTTTGTAATATTCTTTTTTGTTCAGTTCGGAAATAAACAAAAAAAGTAAGATTATGATTATTACAAAAAGCACATCTGTAAAAATATTGAATGTTTTGTAATTAATAAATTATGTTAAAATTTGTTTATACGTGTTCTTATGTATTGATGGGATTATACATTTTATACATGAATATACTCAGAGCTGAAAAAAATTCGATATTTGGACATATGATTTAAGGACATATGATATAACATAATTTTTAGTGTACAAAAGTAAAATTATGCAATAAGAAAAGTGTAACTATTATATAAGCAGATTCTCTTGTGTAAAAAAATACTGATACATTTAAAAATAAATTTAGTAAAAAATAATAATGAAGAAATAATAATTTATTGCAAATATATTATATTATAAAACATGTAAAAATTGCTTAGTCTATTTCAGAATAATTAGTTTGAATAAAAGCTTGTATCAAACATCTATAATTTCAAATCATCTATATAAATAAAGTATAAATCAAATATAGTATAAATTAAAAACTCAATATTAAAAAATTAATATTGATATGATCTTAAGTTGTATTTTTTATTCTTAAGCTTAACTTGTGTCATTTATAAGGACAAAAATTATAAATAATAAATTTCACATTAATTATTTTTCAATAATACTTACACATTTTATTTCAGTTCAATGGTTCCAGTTTTTAATTTTCAATAGACAAAGATATATATATCAGGAGACGCGGTAGTGTCTCCGGCCAAGTTCAAAAAACTTACTATATATATCTAGATCTAATTTAATAAAACAAAAAAATTTTAATTATTGTGTTTTTTACATTTATTATTGTGTTTTTTACATTTATTATTTTCTACTAATAAAACACTGTCAACACACAGTAATTGTATTGCAACAAAAAAATAATGTAAATCGCAGAACAGACTTGAGTATTATATAGGCAAAGAAGTGGCGCCAGTAGCGCCAATACAAAATCTAAATTAAATGTTGTAGATGAAAAAAGAAAACAGATTGGTTTAGCTTAGTTATAATGCTTAGTTAATAATGCTTTTGTGGCATTGTGGGGGAAGAAGAAAAAATGTCTATATCTGGTGGGGAGTTTCTGGAGAGGGTTTTTCAGCAGAGATTAAGAGAAGAAGGTCATAGTGATTCTGTTACTACATTTTGAACAAGGCAAAGTAATTTTATTCTATAGAAATTTGTTTTTCTATCAGGAAAGACCCAAATTTTCTTCTTGCCAAATTAAAAAAATTACCAATTGTTTTTATCAGAAACTAATTCTAATATGAACTGAATTTCATATCGTAACAATTCATAACAATTTAGTTCTTAAAATCTAAATTTAGAATTAAAATCTACAGACAACGCTGAATGTAATTTATTATTCACGTATGAATAATTAATAGTTAGATACATATAATAAGGTAATAAAAATAGAAGAAAATTGATTATTTTTTTCATTATCTCTTTATCATTATATTTTATAATCATTATTTTTCATAATTATCTTTATCTGCTTTTGTAATATTATGTTCATAAGATTGAATATAGAAAATTCAATTAAAAAATATGTATTGACTTATATTTAATAAAAATAATAAATCTACAACCAGATTAATTTTCAATAGCTCGTTTTAAAGAAGCGATTTTAATCTTCAAATTTATGTATATTTGCTTTGCGAAAAAAATTTTAACAACTCTATGCAGTCGTTTAAATTTGCAAATTTTTCGAAAAAAATCAACGATTTTCATTATCGTTTAAATCACATTTCAATTTTTCACCTTACTTTCTAGTGCATTTTCGAGGAAAATAGATTCATGAAGATGAAAGTAAAGGCTTCGTTCTTTAAAACAACTTTCCAAGAAAATTGTTGTATAATTTTTTTTCGCAAAGTTGTAAGTCCAAAGATCGTTAATTTCTCGGCAGAAATTTAGTGATCCTTTAATTTTGCTATTAAGTGATATAAGTATATATATATATATATAT